AATACTCACTCTGATTCCGTGCTTTTGCTTGAGGTGGAGAGTTGAATGTCGTCATCATACGCAGGAGACTTGGAATTTTCATTGCTGGAGTCCTTCGTTTTTGTTCTCATCTGCTGGAAAATAGGCAAAATGCAAAATCATTGCAACTTACAAAAATTCTTATTACAGTATGTAAATCATGTAAAATTATGGCAGTTCATAACAACAACAAATTTTGTAAGCTATGCAATTTCACGTTCATAATGGAATTAAATGTAAGTGGAACAATAATGTAGAAACAAAGCTTTGGAATTTTATGTCAATAAGTGAAACCATGTTGCGGAATTTTATTCAAGTGTAAATGATGTTACAGTATAATGTTGTGAAAATTTTACGGGAGTGCTACAACGTTATGTGAATCATGCAATGTTGTGCAAATTCTTCATTGTCCGGTAAATTTTTCAATGTCATGAGTTCTGCACAGCAGTTATGTACAGTACTTCAAAAAAGGTAGGTTATGTTACCCTGAGAGCGCACGATGCATAATTAAATGAATAAAAGGTATGTAACACAGCATTTGAAGTTTATGTGGGTAATATTGACATCCAAGGTAAAACTGACGCCAGTAGTAAAAAAAAAATAATAACTGAATGCACGTGAATCACCTTTTTCAGTAGTTTGACGTGATTCCGTACATGGATTAAAAGTTGCTGGAAAGACTCAGTTACTTCGCCAATAGTTTCTGCATCTTCTGGACAGCTCCTGCATTGTAATTCAGTTCCCCGGATCAATAGTGTATCAGCTTCTTCCATCACTTCCTTAGCGAATACTTCAATTTCCTGAAAAAATGCAATAACACCATTAAACTCATGAAAGCTGTCGAAAATCGATTCAGCTTCAATATTGTTCCATAAAATAATTCATCGCGCAGAAAGGTTTCATTTTTTCTAAGCTTACAATAAGCAAAGCGAAATACTGAGGCTAGGATATTTCAACTTTTCTTTTCCTGATTTTTCAATATCATTTATACAGAGTCTAAAAAAAGGTCTTCCTCAAAAATTATTCATGCAGAAGTGCCTATAGAAACACCATAATTACTCATAAGTGAAAAATTATGATTTCAAACTCAAAAGTTGAAGTTTAGTTCAGTTTCTCCAAATAGTTTTTTATTTTTTTTATTCTTTTACTTTTGGAGAAGGATTATTATTTATTGGGCCATCAACCTTGAGCTCATTAGGACATACAGCAGATTTCAGAACAAGTTGTCAACATTTAATGCAGGTTCATTTAATATTATTCCATAAAGAAATTTGACCTACGGAGACATTTTCACACTGTTTTCGTTTTTAATTTCCTTTAAGCTAGGTTATAAGAAAAGGTCTTATACAACGACGACAGCACCAGAATTACCCATATCTAGAAAAATGTATTAAAACGCTACCAATTAAAGGTCAATTCGATTTTCCGGCACTTGTACACGAGAGGTTCAGAGATGGCGAGAGTGTCGAAAATCATGGCGGCGCGCATGAAATTTTCGGTGGGTCACCTCTCGTGTACAAGTGCCGATTTTCCTCAACTATATTTTTTCACGATTTTGGGTAAGATTATAATTTATCAATTCATCAACCTCGAGCTTCTTTCGACTTACAGCAAATTTCTCGGGAAAACCGACGTCTCCGACAGATTTTTCCAACTTGGTCAGCTTCCCTTCAAGCACAGTCAACTGAATGGTGCTCTGCTCCACAGAACCCATGTGGGCCGAGTATTGGTCTCTTTGGTGCTTGAGTCTCCTGTTGACCCTGTCGGCGTAATCCGATAGCCGCCGCCATCTTCGATTCGACGCTTCCGCCATGTCTTTCAAGCTCTTCGAGTCACTAGCATTACCATCATCCGGCGACATCTTGTAATTCACATCGGCTCCATTGAACACGAGGGACTCGTAACACTTGTTGAGATGCTTCAAGTTCTCGAGTTGCTTGAAAATTCTTCCGGATAAATCCTTGACACGAAAAGAAAAAGAGGGGGTGCACCAAAAAATCGCTTCAATTTTGGCTAAAAACTTGTGAAGGTTTATTTCACGGAATTTTTACCAGCCACGAAGTTGATCAACAAGAAAGAAAATTTTTACGATGGGAAGGATGAAAGTAATGACATCGTAATTTGATTCGATCTTTTTTATATAGACAGAGAAAGAGACACACACTCGAGAGAAACTTTTCAAGGTTCGATACGATTATATATATACCTGGAATCTGTCCGCTTCTTGCTTAAGTTCTACTTGAGTATGCAAATCCGCGGATGTTTTGCAATCTCTGAATTTGGCTTCTGCAGATTTCAGCCATTTGTCAAACTTTCCATAAGCGTCGACGAACTTCTCAGCGTCTTCTGATAACTGAGAGAGATGAACTAGTTCATCTTCGCCCATGTCCTTGATTGAATTCCATCTGAAGTATGTAGGATATAAATTACGTGAAATTCACATTTCAGCAAATTCAGCAGAAAGAAAATGCCATACGCTGAATAAATGAAGTTTAAATATGATATAATAAACAACCTCTTGTGAATGGCTTCAATGCTGAGTTGCAGATTTCGCTTTTCAGCTGAGGCTCCGATTGTTTCTGCTTCCGCCGAAATTTCTTCCAATCGGCTGGTGGTTGAGTTCAGCACACTTTCGTACTCGGCCAATTTTTCCAGGGCTTTTGAGGTTTCCATACGAGCAAAAGAAATTGTTTCGATCGGCACCACAGACTTTGGTTGACAAGTCACCTGACACTCGGTCAATTTGAGATCCAGTTCCGTTGCTTGTTCATTGGCTTCTTCAATTTTCTGCACGCGAAATAACGAAGTCATCGGCGTGATATGATTCAGTCTTCATCGGAGGTTATTTGTTTTTAAAATTTAATTCGAACAAAATTTGTTTACCTTTGAAAGCTGATTCAACGCAGAAATTCGCGTCTCGAAGCCACCACGAAGATCATTCCAAAAGGTTTCAATTTCTCCACGCATTTTTTCAACTTCTTCCACAGAGCTTTTCTCTGACCCCGTTTCAGCAGATTCAACAACAGCTAGTGAAGATTGCAGAGTGTCACCGAGTAGAGCAAATCTGCTGAAATTCTCTTGATTCGAACTTCCAGGTCCGAAAAACCGGTTCATCGCAGTTTGCAGAAACCGTTTCTGCTGCTGAATGTTAGGGCACGTGGTTCCAGCAGAAGGAACAACTTCACGGGAAATTTCATCCTTGGATTCTTGCAAATCACGTTTCAATATCTCGTACCTGGGGAAAAAAAATATGGAGCATAAGCAGCAGTTCGAACAGGGCTCTTATTTACGCTCGAGAAGTCGACCTCGAGTTTCAAGTGCATCAAACAGATGTCGCTTGAATCCTGAACACGGAGAAAAAAGTCTTATATCTGTAAGCTTCTGAGCAAAAACTTCCATATATAATCGGACTTCGAAATACGGACACCCAGAAATATGGACTATTAGACGTATTGTGTATGGACACTTGAAACCAGAAATATCTGCCAGGACATCTGGACAATGACTCTAGATACGGACACACTTCAAAAATTTCTATGAACATTAATTTTTCCTACATTTTGATATCTCTTGAATGAATCAAGCTTTTTATATAGTCACAACAAACGAAAATTTCACTGTAATATTACTTGAAATTGTTAAAAATAGGTTAATTTTCTGCTTTCCAGTTTCAGTGTTCTTTTTTTATCATGAGTGTACAGTTTATAAAAATACTTGCGCTTTTTCATAGCTTTTTGGGGTCCTTCTGATGCCAGAAAAGATCAGATTTTGTGTGGTTTTCTTATGCACAGGTATCTCCTGTGTCTTCAAGTTGAGAAACATGTTTTATTCAATTTTTTTGGAAATGTATTCCTGATGTTTGATGAACTGCTGGAGAAGCCTTCAAATAAGTTCCCATATTGCAGTCTGGGAAAATAAGATCCGACATGCGGACATTCAAACATAGGGACAATAAGGTCCAAGCATAAATTACGTCCGCATCTCGGGGCCTCAGTGTATACTACAGTACCTTGAAATGCTGGCATATAACAGAACATGAACTTCGCACGACGTGGGGAAACGTAAGAATATTCAGGCGACACCTATGTGACAGGAAGTGAAATCACAAGCGTCGCGGAATACATGCGACCAACTGCCGCAACAACTTACGTAGCACGGTAAGAAACCCAACAATCATTGAGATCATCCAATCGGTTTCTCTCCATGATCAACTGATGAATGCAATCTGCGCATTGATTTTGAATGATCCTCAGGTCTTGTCGCATGTCTCGAACGTCTCTTGCTGCAACAACACTGCTGGACAATTCATCAAGATCTGCTGATGCTTCGTTGAGCACCTTTTCCGCATTCCTCAAATCTTCTTCCAAACTCTGTCCGGAAAACAAACAAAAAAATCACAGCGATACAATTTCAATTCCATGTCTCAGTTTTGGATGGTGGAGATTCAAGAGAAAGAACTGTGGGAATAAGCATTATTTAGGAATACTTTTCTTCTGTTATTCCGGGCCGTGGAAATTTAAATACAGTAATTCCCGAGATTTCCGCAGGAAAAGAACATATTTTTCTAAAATCACACGCATTTCTTGAAAAATCTGCTGATACATTATTACGGTTCAGGAATTGAGTGCGGTTCACGCTTTCCTCCTGATGTTCAATTACAAGATCTTGATTTTTCCTTTGATCTCGAAATTATAAATGCCAAGTTGAATAGATCCCAGGTAGTTCACAATAATTATCATAATTATGAACAAAGTAAATCAACTCAACAGCTGCACGCTATCGAAACGAAGTTCGTTCCTGCTATAATTAGGGGCTCCTAATTTTATGCATTAATTAGCTTACACGGAATAAATCAGACCACTCAAGGCAGGCTTGTTCCGGAAAGCTGAATACCCTCAGGGATTTTTTCTATTCCGTTGGGATTTCAGAGGAAAATTTTACCAGGCTTAAAAAGCTTTATACAAAATAAAAAAAAGCGCTCTTTCTCACATATTGGAATGGAATCAAATCATTATCTCGAGATTTCTTCCTTTGCTCGATGTGAAAACGGAAAGCTTCAAAACATGAGGTGAGCGATGGTTAAATTACCTTGTTTTCCTCAACAGCAGCGGCGATGTCTTCGAATTGCACGACTTTCGGTCTTTCAAAAAATTCCAGAACCCTGGAAATGACTTCTTTGGGTTCTTGTAGCTTCCGAGTCAATGTGGCCCAAGAAGACGAGATTCTGGATAAGAAGTCGTGCCAAACCCTGAGGCCGGCCTTCACGTTGTCCAAACGACCCTCGCAGTTGCAGACTGTTGTTTGCAGCCAGCCGAGTCCACTTTCGTCAGTTCTTTCGAGCAAATCCTTGCAAGCTGATGATAATTTCGCCAGAAGCTCAGCATCGTCGGCTTTCTGCATCAAGTCCTAATAAATATAGGCAGCAAACGAATTAAATTAATGAAAAACTACCTCTTTTGAAACATTTTAGGAACAATTTGAACAAAATACACCACAAAAAATCAGAAGAACTGTCGAGTTCGAATTTTTCCCCAAGCACGCGCTCTGGAATTGAATTTTGAAAATAATTCCTAGAAATTTGAAAACCAACGAATAAGCGTCACTCTTTTGCATAAGGAATATTCAACACTCTGCCAGGGTATTCTGATCCCTTCGCTGATTTCTTGGCGAAGAAAGTCAAAATTCGTATATGCAAAATTGAAACATTTCAGTATGGACGAATAACTGACATTCGAACTAAAGGCGGAATTCACGAGATTCCGTTGAGTTTGCCGAGGAAGACGACGATACTTGGAAAGGAACAAAAAATTATCTGCTTATACGCCAAAAATTGCAGTAATTTTAAATCTTTGAAATCATTCTTTCCACACGCCATCATCTGTACATGTGTTCGAAAGAACGCGTGAAAACAAAGAATGTCAACAAAAGGCAACAACCGCGTTGAAAATAAAATAATATTCGAAAATTCTACTGACAATCGACTTCAAGAGGAAATTCACATTACTCAATTTTGTTTTTCGAAAAGTCAGCTTTTTCGAAAGAAACCAGAATGCATCTGTTCATGTGCTAAAACTGCAAAACCGTTAATCTTCGACATCCTTTTTTCCCCACGGCATCCGAACATATTATATTTGAAGGAATGCACGAAAATTCAATTTTGACAACAAAAGAACACAACCGTGTTGAAATAAAATAGCACAGTATTTCATAGTATATCTTCACAAGAATATACTCTAGTGTAATGGAATTAGCAAGCTTGCATTTATGCGTAACCTACTTCCGCAAAATTTTGACATTACATATATTTGTCATTTTTTACGTGAAAAAAACGTTAAATTACAAAATTTATAGATTTGATCGCAAGGATTTTAATTAAAGGTTCCGAGCATCTTCGGGTGCGGATTTTAATTTTTTAACCAACCTCGAGTTTCTTGAGCGTTTCCGGAAGATCGCAAATCGGAATGATGGACATCCGGAGTCTGTCTCGCTCAGTTTCCAAACTTCGCAGCCAAGTGCAAAACTCTGAGTAAGCCACGTGATACTGCTTCCAAGCAGTCAAATCAGATTCGGCCCCACTGATGAGTTCTCTGGCTAAAAGCACGCATTCTTTATGCCTGCTGATGAGGTCCTTCACGGTCTTCAACTCGTCTTGCGGCAAATTCCATCGCACTGCCATTCCTACAGCACTCAGCAATGAGAGTTGTTGGCCAACCAGATTATTCGTCGCCTGAGAAGAAAAAAGGATTTACGCATAATTTTAAAATAAAAGGCACAGTCACACTTTTCCATAAGATAAACTCCAAGGGACCAGAAAAAAAAAATTCGACTTAGGGAATAGGAGTCCCTTGAACCAGTAAACCAGCCATTTTTTTTTGGAAAATGAAAACAAATAATAACTACAAGAAGGTGAAGATTGGATAATTTTTTAGCTTTGACAAAAACAGCGTGATAAATGAGATTTCAGGATGTTGACCTTTGAAACAAAAATAAAATTGTCTCATTAGTCACTCCGTTATTACTTGTGAAAAATAATCTAGCTAGATTTTTATTGCTATTTCTCTTTGTCATAGACCCCAGCAGGAAAATCTCGTCACAAGAAATAACATTCCAAAAAAGTTTCCAGCATAAAGAACTTTTTCTCAAGTACTTGCAAAAAGTTCATAAATGAAATTTCAGAACGATTTTTTTATGTTAAAAAAAATTCTCAATTCCAGTATACAACAAACTTTTTTGAAGAATGTTCAATAGATTTCCCAAATAAAAATGTCCTGCCTTTATGAAGGCAAGGTCTAAAATTTCCAATCCCAAATGTGACTGACTGGTTATTCTTGTAGCATGGATGGAAGCTGTATAATCAATGACGAACATGCTTCAAAGTGGTTCCACACACCATCATTCAAGAATAATGAAGAGATTTGGGCAATTGATGGAATGCATGAATGAAGCCATTTCTTCAGAAAATCACTCAGGTTTTGAAACAATAATGAAAAATCTAAGGATGAAAAGCAGGATCTCATGAATTTCAGGCAGGTCTGATTTTGAAAGTTTCTCCAGTCATTACTTTTGAAAATCTGTAGATGCAACGAATTATTCAGTACAACAAACTTCTTCTTAATTCCTCAAAAGTTTCTTGTAACTAGATTCTTCTCTAATAGGAAAAATAGGGCACACAAAAATTCGAATTATAGATTACAACGGGGAAAGTCTTCAATTTAGGGAGGATTACATAACACGGTGTTCTTACAAAAATGCAAACAGGAACACACACAAAAATTCGACACAGGAAGGGGTCATCTTATCGATCTGGAGAAGTTCGAGTCATCGTGGTCCAACAATCACATATTCCAGGTTTTCAAGAGGGTTGAGCAAAATTTCACGCACATTCAGACGCTCGAAGTTGTCCTTCGAGGCTTCTTCCGAACCCGGTTTCACGGTTTTCACACGGTCAAGGAATTCCTGGGCTTCCGTCAACGACGTTGAATAGGAAATCAAATGCCTGGAGATGTCAAAGCCCTCAGGCCCAACACCTTCACTCACTAGAACACTCATCACAGCGACGTACTGACAATACGTTTCTTCGAACATCTTTCTCCACAGCTATATAACACGGGGGGAATACAAAAACAATTAAATATATTAAAAATAACGGTCGTACAGTGAGACCCCGGGATGCGGACATAATTAGTGCATCAAGAGTGTCCCTAAGTCGAGTATCATTTTCCCTCAGACTTACACTAATCAATTTTCAATTGTTGTTTTAGGGACAAAATACTCACTATAATTCCAAGAAAATTGTCTCCCAATTGAAACTGATTAAATCAATATATTTCCATTCAATATGGACATTTGGGGAATTGAATAATGATACCTCTGTACAGTGCAAATAAATGTTGGCATTCTCTGTAAAAATAACGTTCAAGTGAAAAAGAGAGAAGGAAGTCCCTTCATGCTGGAGGTAATTTTTAAAATTAGCTAAATGAATGATAAATTGGTGAGAGAAATGCCCAAAGACTTTTCTTACATCAATTTCAGGGTTTGAAATATCGGTTTCTTGTAATTTGGGCGGAAACTTATTTGCAATTTTATCAAAAAATGTCCCAATGTCAATTTAATGTCCTATTGCTGGGCCTTTTTTTCATTATTTTTGCATGGGAAAAGAAGTGTCCCTATGTCGAATTGTCCGCATGTCAAGGTGTCCGCATGTTTCGAGGAAAACTTACATCCAGCAAATGCTCAATCGTCAGCCTTTCCCTCTGACAACACTCCAAATTGACTATGGTTCCAGTAGCTAAAGCAACAGCCTGTCTGGCACCAAACGCTGGATCAGAGTCCATAAAAACTGGCACTTTTCGGTCATCTTCGTCCTCTTCTTCCACTTCGTCGATTTGATCCATGCCCCAATGGCTTTTCCCGTTGGTCAGCGATTCCGTGGCATTTTGCTTCGCAGTTAGAAGGTCAGAGTGATTTCGGGACATGTCTTCTAAAAGTGCACGCATTTCCTCCACTTGTGCCTCCTTCGGCTTGGAACCATGGAAAATTGAGTCCAAGTTCTAAAAAAAATGGAAGAAGTTGAATTAACATTTGAATTTTCCATGCAAGAGAAACGTTTTCAAACTCGGGTAGAAAAAAGCAAGCATAGAGAAAAATTAATCAAACAGAACACAAATTATTTGCTGAAGTCAGCAACAAAAATCTAATGCTTGACAACAACGGTTTCTATTTGTTCTCTCTTGGTTCTGCGTCATTAAATTTTATGTGAAAAAGCCAGACTGTTGAAACCTTCGATCCAATCCGAGTAAAAAATTATAAGAGGGACAAGGAAATATTGCAATTTCAGCATTCAAAATTTTGCCTTGCGCGTATTACTGATGGTATTCAGGTGATGATACATTTTCAACCAACGATTTTATCGATGCAGACTGACACTGATTGTCCCAAACTTTGAGAGAATTGCCAATGGCGTTGGCAAAAACCCAAGAGATTTTTGCCAAAACGCAAAAATTTGCCGGCAAAAAAAATTTGGTCAATATGGTAGATAGTGTTAAAATCCAGGGTCCGCTTTTTTGAGATATTCACCAGCTGGACATTGGAAAGCCATTCCTGCATCCGTTCACTCTTCCCATCAAACTTCTGCTTCTGCTCAGCCTCCAACCGCAGAGACGTCAACAGGGCGTCCAGGGACTCCTTGAGGGACGCCAGTTGAGCAGTGGACGCCCTGAGTTGTTGATAGAGCTCCAACATGGGTTCACAGCGGGCATTATTATTGAAACCCGTGTCACTGGCAACGGAGTCGCCGTTGTCTCGCAGTAACGAACTCATTCCCGGCTTCGCCAATGAAAGGACCGAGCACATGTTGAGCGGCTTGGACAACGAGTCCCCGAGTTTGGCCAGGTCGTCTTCAAGGCATTTCCCCGCGTCAAGTTGATCGTCACATTCTCGCAAACAAGCCTGTTTAATTTGAAGACATACGTTATAAAAGGGGACCCAAGAGATGCGGAGATAGGATCATAGTTTTGGCCATTATCCCAATATACTGTACGTAAGAAAGTCCGCATGTCGGATCACATTTTTCCATAGACTTCGATGGAAACACTCGTATTTAATTGATTCTACTGCTTATCAAAACTCACGGAAAAATTATCCCAAAAAATGCATTCAAAAGAAAAGCTGCAAGAAAAGAATGCTAGAGTTGACCATCTTTGAGTCTGAACGGTGTGAAATGCATTGTTCTAGCAGTAAGTAGTCTGGAACTAACTGAAAATATTCAAATTATGCAGGTTTGTCTCAGAAAGGTTCACCGGTGAACAGTTACAAAAGAGAGACTTCGTATTCATTCGGACATACCTTAACGCCATTAAGCAGTCAGTCATGTCAAGTCATGTGGTTTTCATGAGCTCAGCCTTAATGATTTTAGGTGTTTTATGATTAGCTATCCTTAGCCGTTAAATACCGTATCAAAAAGTGTGGAAAATGACAATATCTGCATGACGGTATTTCCAAAGATCTGGCAGAATATTTTCTCACAAATTTGCAACATTATAAAAAGAAGCACTATAACAAAACCAATGGAAGAAAAAGGTTCCTCCCTACGGGAAAGCACTCAAAACGACCAACACGTAAAATTTCAGAGAAATATCTTCCACAGAAAAATCTCTATCTTCACGCCAAATTTTATCTCACCCAAGCCCAAAAGATATCACAAAAATGCGACAAAAGTGAAGCACCATATTTCTTATTAGATCAACACCACGTCAGGGTCTGAAACACGATAAAACTTGCGCCACTGGCACTGATACATTTTTCGTTTCCTTCCTCAAAACTTGAAGAAAATAATCTGCCTCCGTCTAAAAATGAGTTATAGGGAATTATAAAAATGGGGATCACGACTCATTAAAAAGAAAACATTTAATCTGAGCATCCTATCGTAATTGTTTCCCCTCCCAAAAGCATGACGAATTTCGCACAAAAAAACCCTTTTGAAATAAAAATGTTTTTCAACCAAAAAGCGAATAATCGAGTCTCGTGAGTGATTAAGGAACCCCAGCGGAAACCATTTCTCATTCACGAAAATCTGTTGATAAGCTCTCCCACACTCATTTAGCCCTTCCCAAAAGATCAGAGTTCATAGGTCGAACATAATAGTGGAAGAAAATATGAAAAATTAGTCACGTACAAAAGAGAGAACACGGAATTCCGGATATTGAATGTTTCTTCGTTCCGTGTTTTCTCGGACAAGCATCAATGTCACAGCTAATTATTGCTGATCAATCGTAGTTCCGTGGTCAGATTGAGCCATCATAAAAATAGTTATTTGCAAATCATTGAGCGTTCCAAAATGATTCAAAATACAAACGAATTTTGACTCAGTCAAATTTTGTGATAACACACGCTTGCGCCGCTCGTGTTTGTTAGCGAACCAGCGAAAGGATTAATGAATGATTATAAAATACCAAACCATGTTGTATTTAAGAGCACAGTGAAATGATAAGCATTGAATTTAGTTCAATCTGCGGTTCATCACAGTTGGAAAACAAATTTCGCGTTTTAATTCAGCACAGACTCTCGAAAAAAAAAACTGCCCGTTCAAAGCTCGGGATGGAATCTTCCCAAATTCGGATTCAAGTTCTAAAGAATTTCAATTCGCTTGAAATTATGGCATTCGGAGAAAAAATAAGCCTCAACGAAAAAAAAATAAAATTTCAAGTTCTTCATCTCGGTAAGCTAAAAAAAATCATTATAAAAACTTTTTCGGAAAACTATAATTTTACAATGCCCAATAAAGAGCATTAAAAGTAACGCATCGTTAAAATAATCCTACGCACAAACACCTTAACCTCACAGTAATTTACAATATTTATGCTCACGGCAAACTTTTCTTTACAAAGAATGAATGCAAAAAATTTTGATCAAATTTTGAAGCTGAAAATTTGTGAACTCGACGAAAGCAGAAAGGTTGAATCTGATATAAAATGGGAGCTTCATTCCAGTTATTTTAAAAGAAAATAATGATAATCTTACACTCACAGCACTGAATTCTCCCTCAATAGTCAAAATAAAATGTTTCATCTGTGCGCTTTAGTTGAGAAAGGTTCAGGCTTCGATGTTTTAATTCTACACCTCTTCAAAACCTAAGATTACCTTTAGAAATCAGGGTGTAAAATTTCTACAATCTAGAAAAAAAATCAGATCGAAGTATTCAAACATCATATATACGAGGGTTCTAACAAAAGTTCTCGGAATGGAAATGGAAATGGCATCTAATCGAGCTTAAAAAAATTATTCTTTTGGGAAAATACATTCTTTGGCACAAAAAAAAAATCAGCCCCGTTTGACAAAGTTTCTTGGTGCCACGAATATGTTTTCCCTAAAGAAAAATTTTTTTCAGCTCGATTAGACGCCATTTTCATTTCCATTCCGAGAACTTTTGTTAGAACCCTCGTACTTATACGAAACAAAATTAACACGCAATCCATTCCATTCCTAAATCAATACGGTACATCCAAAGAAAATCTTCAAGTCAATCTCGTCCTCTTCGTATTAATAATGCAGAGTACAGCAATAAAGTTAAACAAAGTACAAATGTGTCCTTCACACATTAAATTTTTCCTGAAAATAATAAAAAAAAATACTGCAAACAACTCAAAGCAATCAATCAATCAATCAATTCTTTTTACCTCCACGAAGCTGTTATCACAGGCTTAGTGAGGTGAGAAAAAAAATATTAAAAAAGACTGTTGTACCCCAAACCGGAAGACGCTGTCAACCGTGTTTTGTTAACCAAATCCGAAACACGCACGCACAACATTCAACAAAAGACGCCAGAAGAGCCAAACTTGGAACGACAAAAATATATAAAATAATGTCCCGAAGTCGGAATACAAAGACTTGCCAGCTTACAGGAAGCAGAACAGAAACGTGGAGATTTATGATAACAGGTCCCAGGTTAATAAACACCAACCCAAGCGTTTCCTAAGGCTTATTTTGTAGTAGAGAGAAAAAAAAACCGTCATGACAATGCGAAAAGAGAAGAAGCCGGTTTTATGGGTTTGGGGTTTCAAATATCACATATAAATACTGTATATGGTGGATAATACTGAATATTAACTTGTTGAAAGATTTGATAGGCTGTTGAAAAGGCGTCTAATCGAGCTGAAAAAAATCATTCTTTAGGGGAAACATATTCGTTGGCACACAAAAATATTGTCAAACACGGCTGATTTTTGTGTGTCAAAGAATATGTTTTCCCTAAAAAATAATTTTTTTTAGCTCGATTAGACGCCATTTTCATTTCCATTCCGAGAACTTTCGTTAGAACCCTTGTATATGTGGAACACAAAATACACATTCCAGGAGGACTCATGTCCAAATTCAATGTAACATTTTTTGAATTCAAGTGAACTTCAAGCTTTATTTTCTGCTTTTCAGCAATCACAAGGTTCAAGCAAAGTTCCTGCATCCAAAACCCCTCTCCTCCCCACCCTTACATTCATCCAAACAGATTATCCATCACATCAGAATGGAAAACAGAGAAACAAGCTGTACAGTATATGGATAGATTAAAAGAGAAGAAAATACATCTCAAAATGTAAAATTGCACAACTGATGTAAACAAATACACTTTCTTTGTGTCAAGGCATAAGCTGGTTATGCAAACAACAGTTGTGCACCTGCCAGTTGGCAAATGCTGGTCACTCCAATCCCCAGCCCACTGAACTGTGGTATGGTCACCCAATGGTTGGGGCACCCAGAGGCTGCTGACAATCTCTGGTTGTAAGCATTTTTTTTTATAAAATCCTGGTTGCAGTGACTTTCCAGGCATTGGTGAGCAGAATGGTTACCTACCATGGATTCATTTTTAAATTTTAAAAATGCTTAAAATGTTTATTATTTTGTGTTCAAATGAAATGCTTTGACATAGCAGAATTACGCTTGAGCTGTAATTAATTCTGATTTTCTCATGTTTGTTGGGAAAATATGTACAGTATTGCACATCATGTTTGAGAGAAGAGCATTGGAAAATTCAGTAAACTATCAAGGTTACCGTAATTAAATTGTGCATTAGATTTGTAGGGTTTTAAATTTGATGCAGAGATTTTCAAGCCCTACACCTTGACTTGTTTGTCAATTTGTCCACATAAATAATAAAGAAATAAAATTATGTTTGAATTAGTGCTAGGTTAGGTTAGGTTGGGTTTGATGAGATTTTCTTTGTAAACAATTTTCAACAGATGAAATCCTTCAACCAGGGATTGTCAGCAGCCTCTGATGATGGGTGCTCTGACCATTGGGTGACCAGACCACAGTTTGGTGGGCTGGGGATTGGAGTGACTGGCATTTCCCAACTGGTGGGTGCACAACCATGGTTTGCAAGAATACAGTACTTTCTTCCCTTCCCTGATAATAAAAACAAAATACCAGTTAAACGAATTGCTGCATAAGGAAACTACTGAACCCAAATTAAAGCACAAGGTGTTCAGCCTGCTCCCAGATAAGGTTTAGTTGATTGAACAATTTAGAGAGAATCTTTGATGAGAAATCATATATGCTAGGTTAACAGTTCATCTTCTTTACGTAACATGAAAAAGAATAATCCACCAAGTTGACCCAAATGTTTTTGGTTATTAAATAATACAAAGATTTCAAACCATTCCCTTATTCAATTTTGTCAAAATTACAACTAAAAAAAAACAGCTGATTATACTTTCCTTTTCGTTAATGTACTGATACACTCACAACTTGAATCGGGATTTGAACTCTTATGCATTTGCATAAGAGTTGCATATGAGTTGAGAATGTAAAAAGAGTTTCTTCGAACCAACAAATGACTTCATTTTGATCTTGGAATTTTAGACGTCATTTTAAGTGAGAACATATTTAATATTTAAAGACGACATTAAATACAAGACAACCAGTCGGTTTTCGTTTTATTAAAAATACAAATTTTATTCTAATCATTTCTGCATATGGGATTTTCATAGAAAAGTGAAAGAACATTTTGCATGAACCTCGTATAATCTTGCTTAAACGTATCAGAACCTCTATTCCGACGAAAATTTTAAATAATGGACAGTTCAAATCGATCAAATGAAAGGATTCGTGCAAAAGCCTGTCCATTTAAAATGAAATACGACAAGTCCAAGCATTGGAAAGTTATTTTTATCCATTCCTCTGTACTATTCCACCAAAATTTCGTGGACTTGAAGGCAATTTTCAATTTGTGAGAGTGGCGGGAAAATTTATTCTTTCATGATGCTGATTCATTGAACTCCTTTCTAAAAATTTTGAAAAAAATTCTTCTCGTACTTGGGAAATAATAAAAATGTAAATTTTGAATTGAAGAATGAGCAATTGTGCCCCAAAAATCTTCGTCACTTACCAAACATTCGGGCACCCTGTTGGTTCAAAATTATAATTTCCAATATACTTCCTCAAGAATATTCTAAAGCAAAAGAATTGCCAAAATTTTCCGATATAACACATAACAAACTGGATTTTAACTTATTAAGGTTTTTTTTTACATGAATCCCTGGCATCACACTGAAAGAGTTTGACACTGATTCCTCAAGAAATACCGAAACACGCGCATGTCATGTTAAAAATGACCTTTCTTTCACCGGGCATTTCCAGCGAGTCATCCCCGAAAATTGATGATAACGGATAATCGAAGAAATGATCAATGAATGCATGAAGCCTTTTCAACACAAAGAGGAAAAAAACATAGAAACGATAAGCTTGACCTCGATCGCCTTTGAAC